ACAGGGTTTCCGTTAATCGTCATCCCGGCCATTTCTTCAGTTTCAAGAAAAATATGGAAAATCTTCCCGGTCCCTTCCAGAAAATGCTCGCCAGGTAGCGGAGCCTTATACTTGAAGTGATTGACCAACTGGTACGCCAGTTCAGTACCTGCCTCCTGGATAATCTCGTCCTTATGCATTTCCCAGAAGTGCGTAAAAATTTCGTATCGCTCCTCGAGGTCACAGGCTACGTCAAACGTGGTTTTTCCCGGTTCGTCGCCGTAGTCATACGGCTGGTCGATAACCCCAAAACAAAGTTTCATGGCGTGTAACCCCATACCGTGCCCATCTGCATCAGCACCGCAACAACCTGTCGCCCATACGGATCCTGTAACATCTGCAAATCCAGCAAAGACAGATTACTCAGCGCGTCGCTGATGGTGATCGAACCCGATGTCCCCTGGTCTGCTGCCGCGCTGACAAGCCCGGTAGCCAGTTTCCCCAGGTTGAGTTTTTTTCTCAGGTCGGCAAACCACGAGCCGGGAGCGAAATTCAGGAGAAATGAGGCAGCAGCGTTATAAACCGTTCGCACATAGATGATGGATAAACGCTCCAGCCCCTGATCGTGAGGGATTAGCTCCATCGCAGACTGAAAGCAACATTCCAGCGTCGGATCATCGTCAGCAATAGCGTGAACCGGTACTTTCATGTCTTCACGAACGAAGCGAATAAACCCCTCCAGTGACGGACGCAGGGTCATTATTTTTTAACCTTAATATTTCGCTTTGTGCTGGGCGGATTTTCCTGTTCGGTGTTAACCGCTTCCCCGGTGATTTCCATCTCAATACCGCCCGGTTGAGGTTTTTCGCCACTCTGAATCACCGCCTGATCCACTGCGTTATTCAGCGATACAGCGCTGGCTGCGAGAATTTCTTCTGACAGGGATTCCAGATTTTCCGTTTTCTGCTCCGCGCAATCCTCAATGCGACCGACGCTCACAGGTTTATCGATGGAATAGCAGATACCGGAAAAATTCTTGTCCACCTTGTCACAACGCTGGAATCCGTAAGGCTCATGCTGTCGGATGATGTGGTCGATAATATCGGACTGATTTTCGATCATATGCTGACGTCCGGACGGAATTGTCACACCGAACGACTGCGTTTTTTCGGGGAGTTTGTAGTTGAACGTGTGCGGCTGACGTGAGCAGTTAGCGATGTAGAGCTTCATAAATTTTTCCCACAAAAAAGGGGAGCATTTAGCTCCCCGCGTTATCAGGTTGAACGTTTATGCGTATTTGGCAGACAACAGGGTGATCCCCTCAGGGCGGAAGTTCCAGCCCGGCGTCGCGCGCATGGTATACAACGTGGTCAGGCCACCATCCGGCATAGGGGATGGTATTTCCGTCGGCGCTGCCATATCACAGAACATCACGTTGACGGCCTGCTGGTTAGGAACCAGCGTGGAGAAAATATTGGTGTTAATGGTATGACGCGCTTCCGGAACCTCAATCGTCGGGTTCGTAACGATGATCAGGTCATTACCACCAGCGCCTTTACCGATCAGCGTGTCGTCCTGGCAGAAAATGATGTCGTCGCCTGTCGCCTTATCGGCGACATCTTTAACCATCGTTCCCACCGTTCCGGTACCACCACCAGGACGCTGATAACTGGTCAGCTCAACAATTCCTGTCCACTCCAGCGCCTTCATGAATCGCTGTGGACTCAGAATAACAGTCGTTAATGGCTGCCCCAGCAGCAACATGCGGGTTTTCTGGTCAGCAATCAGGCCAAGCATAAATTTAGCCATCTCGCCGGAATCCCAGGTGGTGTACGAATCGTTACCTTTGCTGTCGTTGCCCAGATTCAGCGTCACTGCATTCGGGGAGTTGGTGATCCCTTCGTTATTCTTCGCTTCAACACCGTACAGCAGCATATTACGCAACATTTGAGCGTGTCCCTGGCGGTTAGCCAGGCGCAGGCCTTCAATCAGAGAATAGCCCCAGCGATCTGCTGCATCAGTATCGAGATAGCTGTATTGCGAGCGGGAAGAAATTCGGTAAGTCATCATCCCGTCATAGCCACCAGAGATACTGGAAGACGGTAACTGGCCCGGCAGAGACTGGCTGACCTGCGCCTGCGAGGTCATGCGCAGATATTTCTGATAGACCATCAAATCACTGGAACTGATTTTTACTGCCGGAGCACCACCAGCCAGGACTTCAAACGCCCCGGAAGCCATGCTCTGTTGCACGATCATTTCCGGCAGCACCATTGACGGCGACACAATAGTAGTCGCAGGAGTAAATGCGCTCATTAATTAATATCCCCTTAAATTAAAAACAGGCCGCACGGTTTGCCGATTTCCCAGACAACGTTACCGCCATCCTCTTTTTTCACCGTCAGGTTTCCGTCAACTGAAACCATCAGCAGCTTAATATCCACTTTCGGATTAGTGCCGGGTGATCCCGAATAAACATCAATCATGTTTTTCGTCAGATCCCACACAAAACCACAGGCAGCAACGGTGTTATTTCCATCAGCCAGCGCAACAACTTCTGCACTGACAGGGAGAGGAATGCGGGCACCTGAACCGACGCGGTAATAGTGAACAAAGCCACCCGCGAGATATAACGGCACCGGATTATCCGGCGTGGTAATGCCATGAAATGCCTGATTAAAGACAGTAAAGGCGTTACAGGCGTCCTTCGTGGCCTGCTTGATAACCGCCCCGTTAACGCTGTCTTTCGCGGGAGCGATGCACTCGATAACACCGACACCACCCCATACCGGTTCACTGATTTTGCTGTCCAGTCGTCCGGAGCAAAGTTGCAGACGAATTGCCGGATCATCCTGCGCATCCCCCTGCATCAGCCCACGGGATTCGACGTTAAAAAGGCCACCAAATGCTCCACGGTTTTTAAACGGATGAAAGTTAATATCAGCCATTGTTCAGGCTCCCTTGAGTGTTAATTTTTGCCAGACGACGCCCCGGAATTTTGAAGGCACTCAGCCAGACGTTCGGATCGCCCTGATATTCAGTAATGCGACGCCCGGCTTCATCGTTGCGGATACGTTTATGCAGTTGCCCCTGCGTACTCATCATTTCTTTTTCGATGGACTGACGGGCGGCACTGAAAATTGCGTCCTCAAGCACAGCCAGCGTTGCAGAATCCGCAATCGCGCGAATATTGACGTCCTTATGTGCCGGAGAGTGTTTCTGCATAGCGATTAGCGCACGCTTGCGGTAGTCCAGCGCATTTTCACCAGAAAACGGTGCTGGCGCGTTTTTACCGCAGGCACTGAATGCGGAGTCGGCTTTTGCCTGCGCTTCTGCCAGGGCAGAGTCATTGCGTTCTTTTTCTGCCTCCTCGTCAGCCTTACGCTGTTCTTCCGCTTCGGAATCAGCCTTTGCTTTCTCCTCAGCGTCTTTAGCTGCCGCCTCGTCAGCTTTGGCTTTTTCTTCCGCCTCCTTTGCCGCAGCTTCATCAGCTTTACGCTGTTCCTCTGCGGCTTCATCGGCTTTGGCCTTTTCTTCGGCCTCTTTTTTCGCCTGTTCTTCGGCATCCGCCCGCGCTTTGTCCCGCTGTTCCAGTGAGTCCATGCGCGTAACGACACCATCGATTTTCTGATTAATGCCTTGCAGGGCATCGCTCACAACCCCCTGTAACAGGGCCTGGAGTTCTTCTTTTTCCATCTCGATTTCACCTGTGTTTGTCACTTCAACCCCTGCGGGGATCCGGTCTTTATCCCACACGCCCAGCGAGCCGTGGGCTTTCGTCACCAGGGCGATGTGATCAACCAGGAAAGGAACGCCTTCGATTAAAAAATTGGTGTCACCTTCCTGTACTTCCACATTTCCTGATGTGCTGTTGAACACCACCGACGGGCTTGTCGAAACATCCCCCTCAGTGATTTCTTCAACAATGCTCTGGAGGTAAACGCGGCACACCGCCCATACCTCATCACCCCGGATATACGGCAGCATGACGCTACCGACGATCCGCGATTTAAAGTCCTCCTCCGTCAGAACTGCGTCGTCAGGATGGTTTGCGATAACCGGAAGGCCATTGCATCGCCTTAAAAACTCCTCGTTCAGATAGAGCTTTGGATCACGCCAGACGTGCTCTTTCAGCCCGGCGCGATAGGCAAGCCCGGTTCCGGTTATTCGCAAATTCACCAGCCACATGTTGGAGAATTTCACCGGAGACGGTACGGTTCCGTCCCTGATGCGTTCTGCCACTTCAAGCTCGGTTAAACTCACGTTTGCCCTTCTCCGTTAAAAATTCGTCGGGTAGTTTCTGAGGGGCGTAGATCGGCAGTGCATCGCAACTGCAATAAACCTCCTCCCCAGCAGCAGTGATTTCGTCATAAAAACCATATACGGGCTTAATCAGCCCCTGCTCCAGCGCCCACGAATTGCGGAGGAGATAAATTTTCTCGTCGCGCTCTTTGTGGTCCTGTCGGTATTTGTAGCCCGGACGCCGCCAGTTAGAATGCCAGCGCAGAGCAATCGCTCCACTCTGAACAGCCAGCAGATACTTAACGTTGCTTGCCAGCTTATGCCCCTGGTCAATTGCCACCCGGCGACTGATAAAATCCATATCCTTCACGGACTTCTGAAAACCGGACTTCACTTCCCGGCGATCAATTTCGCTCACCCCGTCAGGCGGAATGGACGTAACCCACCCCTGAAAACGCTGTATGGTTTTCTCGATGGCCTGTTCGCGGTTGAGTTTTATCAGGTTGGCACTGGCGAAAATTCGCCTGTCGAGTTCCTTGCGAAACTCAGGTTTCAGTTTTTCAACAGTGACTTTTTTAGGGCCGTCAGGAGGCTGCTCCCGTAATGCCCCGCCGTCGATGACAAGACGGCTGTAGATGGCGGTGAGATGTTTTCTGGCTACGGTATCATCAGGGGTTTCTCGCTGAGCGGCTACACGGAGTTTCCGGCACCATTCGAGCAATGATTTTTCGCTATCCCACCCGTGATTTACGTAGTAGTTAACGGCATCCGTCAGAACCTCATATAGCGTCCTGATCCGTTTCTTCTTCCTCACCGCCCGGCTGGAAATTGCCATCAGGCGTCTCCTGCTTCGGTGGTTCATAATTCGCCAGCGCGTCCACATCAATGATGAGTGGAGCTTCGCCATAGGTTTGCGTGGCATTAACAAGGCTTGCCAGCCATTCAGTGACGGCGGCACGGTTTTCAGGATCAACCTGTGGCGACACGGCAGAGAAAAGTGCTATCGCCTGTTGAATCACTTTACTGTCGCTTTCCCGGCGTTTGTCCGGCGACTCCTCCACCAGCTCCTGCCATGTCGCGGTAAATTCACGTCGCCACTGGTAAAACGTGGTTTTATAGTCATCAGTTATGATGTCCGGGTAATCATTTTTCAGCGACTGATAAAATTCCTCGTTCCAGGCGATGTACTGCACCAGGCGTTCGAAATAATCCATCACAGGTTCAATCTGCTGGCGTACACCATCGATATACTGGCTGATAGCTTTCGAATCCTCAGTTCCTTCACCGAAACCATTCGAGAAAGCCTCCTCCTTGATGAGAATCGCGGGAACATCGCTACCTGATGCAATATCGGAAATAATGTTGTCGCGGGCGGCATTTAGCGCGCCATCGATGTTTTGTAAATTCAGCGAGGTAACGTCCTCATCCTTCCCGATACTAAGCACACCTTTATTTTTTGCCTCTTTGACATTTTCCCTTTTTCGTCCCGTGGCGGCAGCCATGATCCCGTCAAGTTTCGAACCGTTTTGCACAACTTTAGCTACCAGTACGCCCGCTTTCTGACTGACGAGATCATTCGCCTCCATCGTGTTGATATAGGATTTCAGGGAATAAAGAACGCGCTGAAACACGCTTCGCCCGGTGAATCCGAACGATGAACTCTGAAACTCCAGATAAATCGGTGTGCCGTTGAAAATTTTCAACGTGCGTGACGGATGCCAGTCTTTTCCGCCAATCTTCAGCTTTTTATTGGCTTCCTGGAAAAACGGACTGTTTGGGTTCTGGTCAGTCACCATCGAACCGGAAGCGTTCAACGGATCCCACGCGTTGATATACACATCCTCTTCTGTCAGTCCGAACGTCGGAAGCGGTTCACGACATGAAACACTGTCGGTGCCCACGCCGATCGCTGCGGCACCGTAGCAACGAGACAGAAAAAACAGATTTTTAATCTTCTCGTTGACTTTCATACGTTCCCATACCTCCTGAAAACGCCGCACAACCCTCTCGTCAGGATCTGTCTCCACGTTATACTGTCGCGGCTTACACATCGCCATCAGTATGGGTTTTTCGACAAGTTTTCCGCCCAGAGGATGGAATTGCCACAGCAGCTTACACAGTTCATAGCCGATATCGGTTCCCGGCTGAATTTCTTCAGCCTCAAGAATACGCATCAGTGCCGAACCGAGGCCGCCAGTAATCTCGATCTCTGCCATCAAAAATATCCTGATTTTTTACAACGCCGCGTAATTACCGTGCGCAATGATCAATCCATAGGTGTAACAATCGAAAAGGTCATCAGCACGTTTATGCGCGTCTTTGTCTGCCAGGTGGAACCCGGCGATTTGTGTGATGAGGTGGTTTGCGGTTGTGCGCTTGAATGAAACGGTTTTGTCGTAAGCCTCGCGGGTAATTTTGCATTTACCCTGGTAATGGTGGCTGGAAGCCAGCACCGCGCGCTCGTCTTTCCCTTTGCTGGTTAACGCTGATTTAATCGGCGTCATATCCCAGCCTTCGGTTTCCGCTTTCTGGTTGAGGATTGCGCCCATTGCGGCATCCTCCATGAATACCCCCTGATTCCCCAGGCGCGGGCGGCAGAGTTGCGCCAGCCGCTCGAGGTTGTCATAAACACCGGGGATATACTCAGGAAGCAGCGACGCTTTAATTTGCGTCACATCCCAGTCGATAACGGTCAGTTTCGGCTCATCGGAATACGTGGACTCATACGCGAAGTAAACCACGCCTGTCCCGTCGTTCTCCGTCCCGCCTTTCAGCGCCGTATCCATTACCGCAAAAATCATGTCGCAGTGTCGCGGCATCTCAACCGGCTGGCCATCCACCAGCAGCTTATCGACATCGAGTAACGCGTCTTTGGACCAGTCTACGAACTCTGCAAGATATTCCTGCTGCCAGACGCGCGGATCGGATTTCTTCTCCGTTTCCTCCAGTTCTTCTTTCGGAATATACGGATTCGATGAAGTTGGCGCATGGTGCATAACAAATCCCAGGGATTCATCGTGGCATATCGCGTAGAAAAAATTGCTCTCGTCGATACCGTTTGGTGTGGAAAATACCCACGCACAGCCGCGGTAATCGACAAGCGTCGGGCGTATCGCTCGGGGCCAGATTTCCTCGAGCATTTCCGGCGATTTAGTGAATGCGGCCTCATCAATCAGCACAGCGTGATATTTACGCCCACGCCCGGCCAGTTTGTTATTGTCCGTTACCCAAAAGTCGATGCGCCCCCCATTACGGAGAATGATGCGCTTTTCATTTTTTGACTGACTGAGGATCAGCGGTTGCAGAACGGCGCTAATTTCATCCCAGATTTCCTGGTACTGGCGGTATTGCGCGGTAAAAATCCCCACCCTACCCGCGATAAGTTGCCCAGTGGTAGGAACGGCAAATTTCCGCGTAGCGAAACTGGTAGCGATGTTCACCAGCATCACCGTTTTACCCCAGCGACGACCACAGCATACCGCGTGGAAGCGTTCCTCTATTGCCGCCGTCCATGCAGCTATTTGCCCCTCATGAGGTTTTGGGAGGTAGATTTCAATCGACATTATCCACTCCCGGCATCGGCAGAGAGTTGTGGATAATTATTTCGTTATTCTCACCACCCACGCCTTTTTTGAGGTTTTCAATCTCAGTGCGCAGCTTTTCGTTGCGAAGCCTCAGTCCTTCAAGCTCCAGATCATTGCGACTGTCAGTTGCACCACCAGCAGAACTTCCTTTCGTCGCCATTATCAGCTTGATAAGTTCGCGCCGGGCGGCAGCCTTATCCTCCAGCAGGATCTCAACACCAAATTTCCCGAGCTTTGCCCCTGCATATAATTGTCGCGCATCCCCAT